GGGTTGTATTTTTCAAAAATTAAAGTTTGAAGATTTAAGTGCCAATCGATTGAAAATTTAATTACGAGCTCAACGAGGTATGACTTTCCTTAATCGGACTTCATTTCGCAATTTGTCGACCAAAATACTGATTTTTTTTGTGCAAAAATAGGGAACCTTATTTTTTGACGAAAAATGCGTTATTTTTAGGCCGTTTTTATGTCGTAATTTAGTCAAATCGTGGCGCACAACAAAAAGACCGACTGTTATGAGCAGCTAACAACCAAGGCTATCGATCCATATCACAAATCGGAAAATTTGTTTTTTGACCCATTTTCGCATTTTTTGTAAGGAGTTGTATCATTTTTTTTTTCGAAAATATTTCAAAAATTAAAGTTTGAAGATTTAAATGCCAATTGATTGGGAATTTAATAACGAGCTCAACGAGGTATCACATTCCTTAATTTGACTTCATTTCGCAATTTGTCGACCAAAATACTGATTTTTTTTGTGCAAAAATAGGGAACCTTATTTTTTAACGAAAAATGCGATATTTTTAGGCCGTTTTTATGTCGTAATTTAGTCAAATCGGGGCGCACAACAAAAAGACCGACTGTTATGAGCAGCTTACAACCAGGGCTATCGATCCCCACCACTTTTTGGGAAATTTATTTTTTGATCAATTTTCGCATTTTTTGTAATCATCTATTTTTTTCAAAAATTTTTCAAAAATTAAAGTTTGAAGATTTAAATGCCAATCGATTGGGAATTTAATTACGAGCTCAACGAGGTATCACATTCCTTAATCTGACTTCATTTCGCAATTTGTCGACCAAAATACCGACTTTTTATGCTCAAAAATATCGATCCCAACCACATTTCATTGAAGCTATATATATGATATAGTATTTTCTTTCTAAGTATGGATTTCCTCTGTAAGTCTTCCCGCTAAAATTATCTCTATATATACATTTATGTATATATTACCATAGCTTTCTAATTCCGGATGGACAATTGTGTGCGTGTGTTACCAGGACACTAACACTCCCAACGAGTGGCCATAAAATTTTCTATTTAACGCTTGAGCGACAGTCGAAAATGGGTGGAAATGGGAAATTCAGGCAGTGGAAAGCAGATGCTTTAATTTCGAACCTGTTCAACCTCAGACACGATATGAAAGTTTGGTCCTTTGTTGCCAACAAGCTGGTGGAAATGCGCACCGAGCGACGGAGGTTAAAAGCCGGCCAATGTCAAATGCTGGTCGTCCAGGGCAACAGTTTATTAGGTTGTGTCGTTGCTGTTTCTTAAGATTGCCAGCCCATCCCGCCCATCCAGCCCGGTCCAGCCACCCACCAGCATTTGTCGCCATCAAATGCCAGTCATCATTTGAGGCAGAAACGGGTAGCCAGGACAACGTCTTCAGACAGGCTGCTCCTCCCATCTGACAGGCCAAATTGGAAGGCAGTTCGGAATTTCCGACTCCGATGCTCTATTTCTTTGCCACACACACAGCATTAGGGCAAAAATCTGCCAAAGCGGCTGTTATAGGCCACCCTATCGAATGGGAGATACCTTAAAGAATAACTAAATATTAACAAATCAACTTAAAAAAATGTAGTTTGGTTAACTAATTTATTAATTATTCCATTTAATGAAGTAATTAATTAAATATAAACTGTTCATATAAACATGCTCTGTTGTATTAAAACGAGTAAGGGTATATTCTATTATAAACACCCTCATCGAATTTACCTATTCCCATCACTTCTTTGAATAATTAAAGAAGTTAATATCCTAGAAACAAATATCATACTTCCAAAATATGGTAATCCATTTAAATTAATAAAATGTCATATAGAATTGTTAGATCATATTGAGTATTTTTCTTCAAAAAGTATGTTATATACATTAATGGTAATACTAAACCTTTTTAAAGATTAGGATATCCTTATCACATCATATCGTAATTTAAAACATTAAAACATTATCTATCATAAATTCATTTACAATAAATAAAACGTAATTTTTAGTAAAATGTATTAAATATAATTTCACTTTCATGAAATATCCAAATTTGTTTCATATTTTCAAAAGGTATTGACGAATGTGATCGCTTCAATGGATACACTTTATATGGAATTGTATCCCTGTTACCTCGGACTAACCGACACAAAAGAAACCGAAAATGCAGCTGAGACTGTCAGGACCATTGACCATGAGCAGGATAAAAATAGGTATGTGGATGGGGATGGAAACGAGGTTGAGGATGTGTCAGAAAAGGTGACACGAGACAAGGTTGCGTTGATAACGATGAAGTGGAAAGCCGAAAGTTGAAAGTTGAATGTGGAAAGTGGAAATCAACCCCCAAGGACGGGACATCATTGCCTTCGTTTCAGGTTATTCATTTTTAATTTCATCGGCCGCCTGCTTTTTTGGGACGAAAAGTGTTCACATTTGAGTATGTTAATTTTGGGATTTTAACGACAGGGATCGGGTCAGGATGCGCCTGGCGATTTGTCAGTTCCAACTCATAAGGCAGCGTTAATTTTCAGCCATTTGTTTCTGATTCGAGCACGCTAGATAAACCTTTTCTTTACTTACACATGATGTCTCAATAATGGGGTTCACATATGGGCGGGATTAGTGGGGCACTTGACAAATTAGTTTTGTAGCCCTGCAAAAAAGATTAAACTCTAAGGATAAGAAAGGTGCGCACTCTAGGAGATTTTGAGTATATCATTTTCCCGACTTATAATTTTTACAATCCCAAATAATAATCTAAAACATACTCAAGTGGCGTTATAAAAAATGATTTCTCCAACACCTACTCAGTGGAATAAAAGAGTTAACGAAAGTTTCCAACCAAACAAGAATAAGATAAATAATCTCGGATTAACACAAGTGATTACATTAACCAAAAGGGTTCGCCTGGGGATAATCCCCTTGTTTTCCAATTTTTTTTGTTGTCTTAGAAGCCATTCGCTAATTGTTTCTATGCTTCATTAGGCAAGGAAAAGCGAGAAAAAGTGAAAGAAAAGCGCAGAGCTACGTTCTTGGATCGCCGCCAAGCTCATTTAATATGAGCTGAAAAGCTGGAAAACTGGAAAACTCATTCATTATTCGCACGACTTAAATAAGCTGCTTGGGCCAAAAATTGTACCCAGTACACGTCACAAGTTGGAAGTCGTTTTTCCTTTTTTTGCCCCGTTCCTTGCAATTTATCCTTCAGACGAGAGACCCTTTTCTAGGATTTTTCTGTTTGGATTTTTTCGCTTTCAAGTTTGACCATTTATTTAAACTTTTTATTTGGCCAGATTTCTATTTACGCCAAAAACTCCGCCAAAGACTCTCCGGCAATAAATTCAATTCTCCTTTTCCGCTTTATATTTGTGTTAACCCCTTCAAGGGACTTGGGCAGGGGTGAATTAATTTTCTTAAAAGCTTTTCTTGGCGGCGCTGATTATCCAAATCCCCGCTTTACCTCTCACTCACACGCTTTTTGTCTTTCTCTGCGGCTTCTCGATTTTGCCATACCCTTAAATGGGGCTTCAGAAAAAATGTGGGCTATAAATGGGGTGCATTAAACCTGATCCCCATTACTTGTAAACTGTATCTCGTTCTAATTTTGTAAGATATAAATATGCCTTTGGAAAAAGTGTTTTAAATTGAATAAAACATGTCGCCGTTTACTAAATAAACCGGAAATAAATTTAAAAATATATTTCTTGGCTTACCACTTCATATATTTTAGAAAACTTCAATCTTAAAATTGTTAAATGTTTAAATTAAATATCCTTAGGATTGAAATTCCCTCCTACGTTTTAAAACATTTATCAAAATAATTCTTTTAGTTGAAATTTTTATTAACGAATCTTTGGCACACTACTCAAGTACCTTATATACAAATCGGTGTATGTTGGTTTGTGTCTGTGTTTCAGTGTCTTTTTGTTCTATGTCATTACTTAAATTTATTTTTAATAAATTTTAAAATATGTGTTTTTATTATTTCCTTCCGCTTTTCATATCCTTACGTTTTCGGTGTCTTGCAAAAAAAATGGTATTTCCTTAACATCTATGTATGTTTAATTTCTTGCAATATTGATTTAGGAGGGGGAAATACAGAGCCATATATATGTTCAATGTACACAAATCTCGCATATATTCGTATATATTATGTATGAGAGCCCCCGCCTTCAACTGTTTATATATATATTTGATTCTTAGGGCCATGCTAATTGATTTAAATTCGATATGTGAGCCACTTACATTAGGGTTGACCATTAAAAAAAACACAAAAAATTACTTAATGCGAATTTTGCTCCTTGAATTTGACATTTCATATACTGCTATTAAATGTATGGCTTAAAAAGAATATTAAATAAATAATAATAGTCTGAAATGTATGACAATTAATGCAATATGAAAGTGCATTGGCAAGGATCTTTAACATTGGAATATAGATCTTTTTGCCACTTTAAGTTAGTTATTGTGTAATATAAATTTTTTAATGTATTTACTTATGTTCACCTTGCTCTTAAAATATTATGTTAAATGTTAAAATATCCGGTTAGCCAAAAGGTAAATTGTAATTTAGGATTTTCGTAAAGCTTGAAAACAATTTACTAAAGAAATAAAAGTCATATGAGAAATTTCCATTCTCTGCTATATCTTTGAGATCTTGGATCTATTACCAAGGGTAAAATAATTAAAAGTCTTGGATGTACCTATGCGAAATTCAAATTCTCTGTTTTACCTTTGTAAAAGCATATGTTATAAAAGAATATACATTTTTGGAATGATGTTTTGTTTTTTCAATGGCTTGACAAATTCAAGAAGCAATCCCCGCCAGCTGCGATATGGCGACTATTCACAACACCACAAGCTCGCTGCTGCCCCATGACTTTTCCTATCATGATTTTTCTTCCAGTACTGTGGATCAGCTAAGTGTCCCGATCCTGCAGGTCCTCCTCCCCGTGACCTTCCACCCCACCGCCCCCGTGACCCTGGGCCGCCAGACAAGTGCCGAGCAAGGCGGCCGCCAGCCGCTAGTAGGGACGCCAGACATCCGCCGATGGTTTTGGGGTTCGCGTCCTGATGGGTCCGCCCCCTCCACCTCCGCCCCCGTGACCGCTGGACCCACTGGCCGACCGCGAGGTGGTGCTGACGTCATCCAGATCGATGGTCTCCACCGGCGACGGGGATCGCCGCGTCGAACTGACCGGCGGTGAGGCATTCGGATTGGCATTCTCCGCATCCGGCGGATTGTGGGTTATCAGGGTCACGCAGCGCTTGATCAGATTGACGCCGTCGTGGTCGGGATTGCCGGTGGTGCTGCTGCTGCTGCTGCCGAGTGGCGGTATCTCCTGGTTGGGATTGATATTGGACGCCGCCGCCGCCGCTGCCGCGTTCCTCAACCACGGGAGATCACTGTAGCTGCCATACAGCTGGGTGTACAGCCATTGGCTCGATTGCGGCAAGAGTGGGCTCTGCAAAAAGAGTTGGGCAGCCAGGGCGGGATTGAAGCTGTGTCCGCTGGGTGCGAAGTGGTTGCCACCTGCTCCTCCCCCTGCTCCTGTCCCTCCTCCTCCTCCTCCTCCGGCAGCAAATCCTCCAAATAAATCCGTGGGATTTTTGCCGCTGCGCTGGATGAGGGCGGTGAAGGCGCCACCAGAACCGGGGGAACTTTCACTCAGGGAGCTTTGGATACCGCCATTATTTAGATTCAGATTTAGGCCGCCCACTTCCGCCTCCTCCGCCTCCGCCTCCCCCTCGCCCTCCGCCTCCGCTTCCGCCTCCTCCTCGTCGTGGGTCAAAGGTGAGCCCAAGCTTTTCCGCGGCGATCCCGTCACCGAAATGCTATCGCTTTCAAAGCCCGCATCAATATTATGACTGCTATTGTTATTATTATCATTCTGCAAACTGGTGATCGGCGGCGGCGATGACGTCATCGGCGGCTGGACAAAGGCGCTCAACTGCGTACCGCTCGTGGTGGTGGTGGTGGGGGAACCCTCCGGACTGGTGGTGCTGTGTGCCGCCCCGACGGTGGACAGTTGCTGCTGATGCTGGCTGTCCCCTGGAAAACAATATGCATTATGTTAAATTTTATTTAATGGATAACTTAAAAGAAATATCTCTCGCACTAACCACTCAGTCCACGCAGGCCAGTGGCGGTGGGAAAGGCCGCCGCATGGTGGGTGAAGAAGGGGGCTGCGGGAAAGGCGGCCGGGCGACCGCCCAAGGCCATGTGGGCACGCCAATCGGGCGCATGCAGGTGGCTGTGCATCCCCACCAGATGGTGGGCAAATCCTGCAAGGATAAGGAACAAATAGTTGAGTTAGGATTGACATTCATAAAAGATGTTAGCAATTTTTTCACCGAGCTCAAATCGTAGGTTAATCAAAGTAATCAACAGAAAAGATAGAGCTTTTAATTTTTGCAATTTTTTCAACACAAGTAAGCCCAGTATTTTATAAACAAAATAATCCATAGAATCATTTTCCAAAAATATTTTAGAAACAAAACAAACAATTAACCATTAAATCACTTTAGTTTTATTATTATAAAATTAAAACAGTTAAAGATTGAATCAATCGAAAAAAAGCTATTAAGTAGGACTTAAAAAGAGATAGTTCCTGTCGGTTTTATATTAATTATATTGCTTATAAATATAAGCACATTAAACATTTAGAATTTTGTTGTATATTTTGAAGGTTTTCTAATCCGAATTTATTTATAATAATATAAAAACAATTAGGTCGGAATGTAATAAAGTAAAATAGGCATTTTAGAAGAACGGTAACCTTTAAAGTCGATACTTTTCTTACAATATTTATAATCACATTAGATTAATAAAATTGCAAGCCCTTTATAACAAGTACACATTTGTATTTATATATTTAAACTACAATTTATACATAAGAGCTTCCAGATGGGCAGTTCATGGGGCCCCAAAAGCCAGTTCATTCCGGCCGAATCCTTTGGGGGGCGCCAAGTGCAATGCCAAGACCAATAACCGAAATCTCGCAGCCCGAAAAAATGAGCCAAGAGCAGAAAAACGAGGGCCAAGATGGGGGCCAGAAGAGCCAGGAGCCAAGAGCCAAAAGCCTCGTCTCGACCACATATAGCCCACTGTGCAAGACCAAAAATGCTGCCGCACATTTCGGTTGCTGCAAAACAACATTGGCCAAGAAGTACCCCTCGAAAGGGGGCTTAAGGCCCCCAATCCCCCGAATCACAGCCCCTTTGCAGTGGCGGCCATTGCTGCTTTTGTATATGTGTGCAGAAGCCACCTGCCCCAAAGACAAACTCCTAAATAAATTCATTAAAATTATCCCCCAGCCAGTGGCGTCTCGCTCTCGCCATGGCAATCGCTCCATCCCTGTCGGCTTCTCCTCGGCCGCCCATGTCCATGTGGCCGCCATCAAGTGGCAGCCCACAGTTGCGGGCATCCTGCAGGATGCCTCCGTCCTCGCCAGAAGCCCGAAGGAAGATGCAGCATAAGATGGCTGAAGGCGATGCCGACGGCGACAGAGCCAAAAGGACCAGAAGGAGCCGCAAATAACACTCGGAGAAAATATCACACATACGCCATGTGGGGCAGGGGTATTCCCAATAATGCTCACCAAAAATATATGAGTGTTATAAAGCTTTGTAGGTATTAAGCTAAATAAAGAATTCAAAAACTGTGGGTTGCATTGCCAAAAACATAAGGAAAACAAATACATTATAATGCAATGTATAAAGTTAACTTACTAAAGAGGATACTCCCATTAATAATTATGACATTCTTAAAAAGATATATTAAAATTAATATAGTTTCATAGCCAAAAAAACAAATAACTTATTTTTAAACTAATGTTGGTCCTAAAAATGTAACGAAAATAGTAACATTTTTTTAGGCTACGAAATTCTTTGACTTTTCAAGTTAAATATATCACTTCTTCTTGAATTTTTAAATCGTAATATTATTTTTGTATAAAACAACATTAAATAATATACATGGTTTTACTCCAGTACATTGCACTTTCTCTGACTGTAGCTGATTGCAAGGAGCCGAGCCAAGGCTTAAGAAAACGCCAAGACGTAGCTGAGCGAGCGAAAGAGATGGCTGCGAAGAGAAGAGCGGAGCGGAGAATTCTCCGGCGGCAGACCGACCACAATACACTCACATGCCCGACTCTCGCCCTCTCTCTTTCGCGCACCCATCTAGCCGTCTCTTTCGCCGGCGGACTGGCTGGTTTGTCTCCGTCTCGTTTTAACACACTTGAGGCCAAATACTTGGCCAAGTTTTGCCAAAGTTTGCAAACCAAAATTTCACCGAAAATGTGACACCAACGAACCAACCAAACGAACCACTGCAGCACCACCCACGCCCACTTCTCGCCCACTTTTCCCATCCACATTTTCCCACCCACCGTCTCGAACAGCGTCTTGCGTCTTGAGGCAGCTGCATTACTTGATTGGCATGGCTGCATGACATTTTCATTTTCCCACCCGCACACACATCCGTATCTACACCTACACCTATATCTGTATCTGTATCTGTATCTATAGCTCTCTATATATCTGTGTATATAGTCATTGATATCGGTACAATGCGGAAAACTGGGTCAAACTACGACAAGTGGAAGTTGTCATCATCTCGACATTTCGCCATGTCTGGCGTCTTTTTCGATGGAAACTTTTGCTGCTCAGTCAAAACAAAGGCGGGCAAAAAACAATCGGTGGGTGTGCACTTCAATATAGTGCCATTTATATACGTGCACTATATAGCAACGGATGTCACTGAGATGGCAACTTTCGTTTGAGCACCCATTGTCTGCCAAAGAGCCTTTCAAACTTTTCCACTGAAAGGGGCTTACAAGATGGTTTCATTATTAAATGTCTTTGGCTGGAGGTTCATCCTTAACAACACGGAAAAATGAAAAACAATTTTAGTTCTTAACCCCCTGTATAATATTGTCACTTGAGCTCTTGAGATTAAGTTCATTTTCTAAGCACACTGATTTTTAATGATCTTTTTTTTAACCCTCAAGATAGGTTGGATTTATGGTTTCTTATAAGCTTTTAGAACTGTTAGGAAAAAATATTTCCTTATCTATCAAAGTAATATGGATATTAATGAACCAATAATTGTGGTTATAGTTTTTCTGATTACTATCTTGCTTTGCTGCTTATTTATACTAAATCCTTGTTGGATTGTGCATTTGTATATTTCGTGTTCTGGTGTTTTACCAGCTGGGACACCATTTTATAGTTCTGTCACGCAAAATGGCAGTAGTAACGGTCCGCAAAAGTACAAGGATCGTTATATCCCCCTACTTATAGCCCCATAGAGCTTCCTACTTCTGCCCATCTACTATTTTTACACCCTTTTTTGGTACCCCCCCTCCTTATTTTTCCTAACTCCTACATTTTTCCTCTAGGTTCCCTTGCACACATATAGAAATCGTTACCGCCCACGATTTCGAGTGCTACTTAAAGTTGGCGTCGACGTCGACTGCGGCAGAGGCAGCGACTGAGACTGCGACTGCGACTGCGGCAGAGGCGATGGCAGACCGTTGAGCAAATTGTGTTTTCCATATAATATAACATCACGTCGATTTTGGGTAACCCAAAACTATGTACATATGTATGCCACTGTCTGTGTCCAAAGCACACACACACACACAACTGCGAAGGGGGGAAGGATAGAGAGAGAGAGGGAGAGTGTGCGAGCGAGACAGCGAGAGCGAGAGGGAGAGAGACCCCATAACTGCAACCTAAATATGCGGTCCTGTAAGGAAACCCTATGTGCGATAAAGGGTTAGCCGCTTTTGGTGTCAGTTTTGGGTTTGCCATTCCTCGGCTTTTCCACCGCTTTCCCAGCGCTTTTCCTTTCGTCCCGTTTTTCATTTTCATTTTCCTTTTCTGTTTTTTTTGCTTTTTTGTTTTGGTTGTCTTGCCCCCACGTAACGGTATTCGTCGATGGCTGCTATGTGTGAGTGAGTTCCCACTTGGGACACTCTCAAAGTCGCCTCCCACTCCCCCACTTTCCCCGGCCCCTCTCCCGCCAAGGACTCTCCCAGGACCCTCCCCCTGTGCATGTGTGTGTGTGTCTGCTCCGTAGTGTGTGTAAGAGCATAACGCGGTGCCATTGGTGCGCCGCAAAAAGCTTTCATGAGTCCGGCGTCCTACGCTTCGGCTTTCTTTTTCCTCCGCTCCGCTTTCTTTTCTTCTAGACTTTCTTCCTAGGTTTCGGTTATCTTATTTTTTTGTTTTTGCCATTTTTGGGTACCGCATTGTGGGGAGATTCTGGTTGGTTGCCATGGGTTAAGGGAAAGGGAAGGGGAAGGGATTGGGCAGGACGAGCATGCGACGGGCACACAGGGCGTATGCTTGTTGCCACCATATAAACTTTGGCCAGAAAGTGCGCTCGATTGTCGGCCAAGAAACCAAATAAATCTGAAGGAAATCTACATATTAATAATAATAAAATATTTAAGAAATTATTACGTCCCCCTCATTAATTGTTTTTTAATTTCAAGGAACATTTTAATGACATACTTGTAGCAATAATAAAATGAAAAATATTTGCTGTGTTCAGAAAAAAATAAATATTTATCTAGCTAAAAAATAACAACTTAAAACCCTGCCAATTATATACCGCAAATTGAGTTAATCAGTGTTTTTAAATTATAAACTTGTCACCTAATTATATTTCAGGGTCTTACAAAGTAATGTGCAAGTTTTGTATAAGGCAAATAAGTATATGTTTTAAAAAAGCAGGTACTTCTATACTTAAAAGCAATGGAATAGAATGTCTAGGCTTAATTATTAAAATCTTAAGTCACTTTAATAAAGTTATAAGCAAATGTAAAAATAATTTAATTGTATACAAAATGACACTCTTTATTATTATGATTTAAATATATAGTTGCAATCATATTTTCAATTTAATAATTATAATTTTAAAGAAATATACAAAGGAATAAGAACATATAACATTATATTTAAATATCAATATTATAAAAAATAGGTGTTATATTTATAAATAAAATTGTGCTAAATTATAATTATTTACTCGCTTTAATTTAACATCTAGGTAGTAATTTCCTTGGCTTCTAATTATTTTCGCCAAGAAATTTGGCGATCCCAACGACTTGCCGTCGGCAAATGCGCTGAAATTTCTATGCCACCGACGGCATTTGCGATTCCGCCGGCAAAGCAGGAAAATCCGCCCACTCCCGGAAAAGCCCCCAGCCGCCCACAATGAAAACGAAAGGCGACAGCTCGCCCGAAGAGCGGCAAAGAAAACGCTGCTGCCG